AACTGCACATGGACAGAACATGCAAATTTGCGCATATGGACCAGACTCTGTGAACCCAAGACCCAGAGACCATTGACTTTATTACCAGCATTTCAGCCATGGTGGGGACACAGTAGTGAAAAAAATGCAGAATTAGTCAGTTACTGTCAAAAAAGAGTAATTGGGAAAATTACATTTTTGTAACTGTTGTCAGTGGCTTGGAAAATGAAATTATCTCAGCTCTGCAGGGATGTCTCTCAAGTATGTTTTAGTCAATTTGCAAAAGAGATTCTATCAGCAGCATTTATAGATCAGTTATGCTGAGTGACCATAAACACGATTCAAGGCAGTGCGGCATGTCAGTTATATCATCTTAATGCATGACAGCTAATTGGCTGCTGTGTATTTAGGTCAGGTTTTGCCCCTGTAGCTACAAAGGCTGAGGAGGTCCCTCATGATGGAGTTAGTTCCCTCTCCTTCACTCCACTGCTGAGACATCAGCTACTCCCAATCACCCTGAATGGAACACTTTACTTCACTGTACTATCTGCAAGCACACAGGCTGGAATATTAATGTGCTGATAATACCTGAAGCATAATAACCACAGATATCTCCACACCACATTAATTACACTTATGTAATCATTTCGCAGGTTTTTCATATTTCCACTTTATTAATTACAGATGATGACTATCAGAGAGTCATTAGTCTTCTACTAACTGATTTGTCTTTAATTGAGACCTACAATCATTAAGTGATAGCTACATTATAGGTATAGTAGTTTGACAGCATTTTAAAATGTGTAGTGCTATAAATGTAGAGGGAACAATCTTTAAAATGTTTTCGTAAATGAACTGCACTTATACAGCACTTTTCTCTTCTTATTGACCACTCAAAGTGCTTTAAAAGTGGAAGCCACATTCACCCATTCATAAAGCGCTTTTTTGTAGTAAACTCACAAAAAAATTAACTAATCTTTTTTACTGGTATTACAGTGGCATGTACTGCCTCCAGCAAACAGCTGTATACTGGCATTCTAAGTCAGACACTCACAAAAGCTTGCCTGTTATATGTTGTCTAACTGGTGGCCATATAAATGAAAGCATTACAACCTCAGTGTAACAAGCCCTTGAGTATTGTGTGACAAATTACTTTAGGCAGTGCAGCTTCATATTTTGGGAAGATAATGCATATTGTTTTACTTTCACCAGATACCAGCATACAACATTAGTGTGCTCTATGCTCTTTTGGCCTGAGAACTGCACAACATCCAATACTCAATATACTCAATACTCAATAGTACATATATTTAGGAGACTGCATCTGGTATATACTGAGAGAAAATAACACTCAAACCTCCTGGTACTAGTATACATAAAGTAAACTGAAAAGATGTGAGTAGACGTGATTGGATACAAATGCATCCATGCGAATTGAAAATGTTTCAGATTGAACTAAATATTGGTTCTTAGCCTGAGGCTTTATGATTCCAAGTCATGAACGTATGCAGAGGCAAGTAAACACACACTTCATAAACACTCAGCTTTCACAGTTCAGGAAAACAGTACAGGGTGAAAATCTGCTCCGCATTTAGTCCTTATACAACTTAGCTTACTGTGCTCAAGGCTAATTCGATCATATGTTGCAGGCCGTGTATTTTTAGCCACAGTGTCGCTTTAAGGTTGTCAGTGTTGCCATTGGTCTGCCACTTTAGTCCAGACTAAACTATATCAACAACTATTGGAAACTTTGTATTCATGATCACCAGAAGATGCAACGCTCTGACTTTGGCAATCCCCTGACTTTTACTGCAGCGCCCCCATGTGGTTGACAGTTTTGGTTTTAGTGAAATATCTCGACAACTACCTGATGGATTGCCATGAAATGCATTACTATTACTTAAAATTTGCCTGAGAAAAACTGCAAATGTACATTGCTTAATAAACTGGAGTTATATACATAGTGTGGTACAAAAGTCCAAGACAGCTGGTCTCAGACTTTCGTACCACACTGTATATATAACCTTATCTATTAAATGAATGTTGTATAAACGCATTATTGAAAGTCCTGCTCTCTTCTGGTGTGTTCCCTTTTGTATTCTATTTTATTGTACTGATCAGCTGTTCTGTGTATACTACTGAACCATACAGATTGCCATTCCATTTAGGAAAATTAACAAAATCTATCAATGTCATTATAGTTGATTAAACTTATTGATTTAAATATCACATAAATAAAATGATAGTTAATTAAAGTTGTGTGTTGTATGTGCACAGGTTTTTGCCGCTGTAACAGCATCCCTCATATTTAACAACCAATAACCCCCACAAAGGAATAGATTTACATTGGCCAATTACAGTAATTTTTTTATAAGAAAATCAGCATTAACATGAATTCACTTTTATCCTGTTCATTTTTTTCCAGCACAGAGCAGCAATTCAAGTGTAACAGTTATTCCAGCATTATTGCATTTGTTCAAGAGCATTTAGGAAATCCAAAGAATATCAGTACTTAATCTTTATAAAAATAGAAACAATTTTAAGTCTAAAATTAAGTAACAACCTGATTGACATGACAAAACAGCAGGTAACAGAAAATTATGACAAATACATTGAAAATAGTATCTGAGACATTGAAATATGTACCAATCAAGAAAATAGTTCTTATATACAGAATAAAACCAGCAAGTAAAAACATGAAATGAGTTAAGAGTGCACATACAGTAATCAAGTAAGGTATGGGGGGGTGGGGGTTGGGGGTTGGGGGTGTTAGAGAGAAAGGGCTATGACAGTTGATAGCACATGATATACCTCTTTTGCTTCTTTCTTCCTTTTTCTGAGATTAGGTTTCAGGATTTCAGTGTTATAAAAGTTATTAAATATAGTTGGACAATGTTCACCTATGTCTTTTGGATTTTCCCTGCCTCTGTCACATACTCTCCCTTTCTGGACAAACCCTTGATATGTTCATTGAAATTCAGCGACTGTTTAGCTGACAAACACAAATTTATATTTGTGTATACAGCATCATAATGACCATTCCGCATTGAAATGTAATAATGAAATAAGTCTTTGCATCACAAGAGTCAAGCTCATGAAATTAAATGTTTGAAGGCCAATTGGAACCAACACTGCGCCTGCAGTACAATATAATGTACTGCAATATAAAAGTGTATATAAATATTAATCTTTTTGATCATTAATATTCCACAGTCTATAATGTTAACATTTAATAAGCCATTAACACCTTTGAAATGCATTTCATTCATATTAGCTACTTCAAATTCTACTTTTCAGTATAGTGGCCTCGCCGGCAACACCAGACCAAGGTGCATCTGAGAATGGGTCTGGAACCTCTCAGTTCATTTTTTATTCCCAAGGGGTGTTATCAACTCTCGCAAAGCAAAATGCCTCTTGATGCAAATGGGTAGACCTACAACCAATCACAGCAATGAAACCTGATGTGGGATATTCAAGTCTGAGTGCCACTGAGTGCCACTGTGTTGGAGTTCTCCCCAGAGAATGAGAAGCTCTCCTTTCTGCGACTACGGGTCGTGGAGGGGAAAGCTCTGGCTTTTGTGTGTGCTTATGCACTGAACAGCAGCTCACCCAGCTTTCTTGGAGTCCCTGGGTAGTGTGAGACCTGGCAAACCCAAACATGTAGTGAAGGTGAACTGGGAACCTGTTGTAAGAATTTCTCATGCATCCCGCGGGAGGTTGGGGAGTCTGAGTAGGCCATTTTCAAAGCCAGAGGTGGCAAGCTGGAGCTGTAGTCAGAAGGTCGTTGGTGCCTGTCAAGGTGGCAACCTAAGAACCCACTGGAATTAATTGGAAACTTCAGAATTGTGTCTGTGCTCTTTACAGATGATGTTGATCTGTTGGCTTCAGACCGTGACCTGCAGCGCGCTCTGGGGTTGTTTGCAGCCAAGTGTGAAGTGACCAGTATAAGAGTCAGCATCTCTAAGTCTGAAGCCATGGTTCTCTGCCAGAAAACAGTGGATTGTTCCCTCCAGATTGGAGGTGAGTTGCTACCTTAAGTGAAAGAGTTCAAGTATCTCAGGGTCTTGTTCACAAGTGAAGGTATGATAGAGAAGGAGATTGACACGAGGATTGGTGTTGCGTAAGAAGTAACAACATTGTACCAGACCATTGTGGTGAAGAGGGAGCTGAGCCAGAAGGCAAAGCTTTCCATTCACCGGTCCGTCTACATTCCAAACCTCACTTATGGTTATCAGCTTTGGGTAGTGACAGTTAGAATGAGCTTGCTGATACAAGCAGCCAAAATGAGTTTCCTCCATAGGATGTCTGGGCACAGCCTTAAGCGATATGGTGAGGAGCCTGGACATCCAGAGGGAGCTCAGAGAAGAGCCACTGCTCCTTTGCATCGGAAGGAGTCAGTTGAGGTGGTTTGGGCATGTGATTAGGATGCCTCCTGGGCGCCTTTCTTTGGAGGTTTTCGGGGCACGTCCAACTGGGAGGAGACCCCAGCATAGACCAAGGAGGAATTATATATCCCATCTGGCCTAGGAAGGCCTCAGGATCCCTCAGGGAGGAGGGATGCATGGAATATTCTGCTTAGCCTACTGCCTCTGAAACTTGACCTTTGACAACCAGAAGGAAATGGATTAAAGGATGGATGGATGTGATTGGCCTGACCGGTCTCAGGATGAATGGAAATCTGTCTGAACGGGAGGGGGGCCAGACCCATCTGCGAGAGTGAATAACATGAGCATGCTGACTGGTCTGATTTTCAGGCTAACAGTGCCCCTGAGAGCTCAATGCACTGCTGATTAGGGAAATACATGCAAATAAAGAAAACACAATCAATTTACAAAAACCTACTTGACAAGACACGTGCAGCATTTAGAAAAAAAATAAAAATAAAAAACACCTCAAAGTATGCATAGAGCTGCATAGAGGTGAACCACACACTGCAGCCTTAGTGTGTTGAGCTCTCAGGGCCACCCTACATTAGACCTTTCTAACATAATATTTTAGATGTAGAAAATGTACCAATACACAAATTTAGGACAACGATTAAAGTTCATTTTAAGAAACATCAGTGGTTCTTTTACTGTTAGTAAATGTTTCCTATATTTTGTTCAAGTTTTCTAGCAACAGTAAGTAGAAATGTATTCCTTAAATGGTCAGTTCACCCATCCACATTCAATGGATGCAATATTAACCTGGTTTATAATTCTATCTAGGATTAATGTGGAGTCAATGCTGTAGCCTCCATAAGTGATCTATGCCATTGTGAACATTTATACTTGTGCACTGGTGTGTCTGTGTATGTAAATGGGAAATCTCTATTTATTATGTAATTTGAGTGAACTGACCCTTTAAATGTCTTTAGTTTAACAGTGCTACAATGTCAAATTCATTATTTTTAAATTAGTACCAATACAGCTACATTTCTCCTTGTCTCAGGACAGTGAGGTTGAGGTTGTGCATACAGCCTGAAGTGTAGATATGTCAGTGGTCATCATGCCCTAAAACTCCAGCTCCTCTGAAAAGGCTGGAAGGGTTTCTTGAGGTTGAAGAACATGAGATTAGGTTTGAGTCGAGGAGTTTTCTCAGGTATGACAGCAGCTTTGCTTTCCTCTGTGGGAAATCGATTGTTGTAGACTTCTGGGTATGACCTCTGGAACTGAAAAGGGAAGTGTATGCATCTTTACTGTGCAGTATACTGTATGTACACCAAAGACATAGAACAATGGCACCTAAAAATCCTTCAAATAAAACAATTGGGACTTGGTTAAAACCTAGTATATGGCTGGACCACGTATGATCAATGTGCAAAACTGAGGACATAGTTGAAAACTGTTGTTGAAACACTGTAAACAAACACTTTCAGTGGAAAGCAGCTAAAGCCTGCTGGAAAAGTCAAGGCCCTGTTTAGACTAGACACCTAATCTATTTTAACTATTCTATGTATCCAAATGGCATAGTCATACCTGTTTAAGCCTTTTTCTTTTGTCCTTGGCAGGGAGTTCTTTGTCTGCAATCAAGCCCTCCAACAGCTCCTGTAAGGGGGTCTGAGTACCTATCACCTTCTGCTCCTCAGACTCCACCCTGCTGATCTGTTTACAAAAAGCTGGAGATGAACTGAAGTCTGTATCTGAACCCGCATATTTAATCTGATGGAAGACACAAAGGAAATGGATTTCGATTAGGATTAATGGATTCAAAATTTTCAACCATCTTTCTGACTGTAAATGTGAGAAAATAGAGGTACATTTTTATATCAGGACTGCTTATTTACATCATCATTGTCATCACATAATATCTGCTTTTGAGATTATTAACCCACCGTGAGCTGACAATACAATTCAAGGTCAAAACTTAAAAACCTAAAGCTACTGACTTATATCTGATATGATTGTGGGGTGGGGGGTTGGGTGGGTTACGTTAACCTATGAATGAGAGAGAGGGAAAGAACAACCAAAAAGTGAAAGAAAGAGTATAGAGTTTTATGTGACACTCTTGATTGGCACAACCCTATTGTCCACTATTGTTCATTTGGACACAGGATTCATTAAGGTGTTGTGGAACATACTGTCTCAGAAATTGTAACAGTATTCTCAGTGGGTGGCCAACATGCTCACTAGAATAGTTTAATGAGGATAATTAATATGGTTGGTAAATACGAATAATGTGCTCAGTGTGCAGGGTGGTTATAGTTTTGAAATCCCATTTACAGCATTAATTTAAGATAAAAACATATTTTCTGATTCACAGCATGGGATGTGCAAGCTTATGCATCCACTGCTGGACTCAAAGATACAATCAATCAGGCCTTCATTTGTAGGCCAAACAATGTTGAACACAGACTGTATTGACAGTCTTGTTGGATTTTCTGATGTGCCAGCCAAAACTAAACACATGCACATATCTATACATATGCAACTACTCACGCCATAAAAGCAATCAAGAGGGCAGGCACAAAACCCTGGAGAAATCTGTGTCAGTCTTTGTAAAAGTTCTGGGGCTGTATTGATTATATATCTTACGGCTAAAACTAGCACCTTACTGGCTGAGTTGAGAGAAACATCTAAAAATACGGGATGTGTCAAAACTAACTCCAGAGTTCTTGGTCTAAGAGTAATTCACAAAGCCTTATAGCACTAAAAGTAGGTCCTACTGACAGGTAGTAATGTTTGCAGGTAACGTGCCTCATCAGGTCAGTGTTTTGTAATAACAGAATGATAATCAACTTTTGAAACCATATTTTGATGGCAGACACTTACTAAGGATTTATTTTGTCAGTTTAAAAAATAGAATTTGCTGATGGTATTCAATGCCAGATAAGACATGACTGACAAGTCAATATTTTATATATACAATATATTTTATATTGTTTTATATATGAAATCATCAGTTAAAAAAATATTTTTAATGAAACCTACCTACGGTCCTGCTTTCCTGTCTTACACTCCTGTATATTAATGATGAACTTAGTAGCTGTCTTTGCTTCTTACTAAAAGTTGCTCTTGTCAGCTTTGTGAACAGCTCTGAAGTGGAGACTCTTAGATAGGAACTTTTAGTAACATTTAAAAGATCATAAAGATTTTTAATAAGATCCTTTGTGAATACGGCTCCAGATGGTGAAATATCACATGAGTGACTCTTTGTCTACAGGTTAGTGTTTTCTGTTGAAAATGTGTATACTTCATGCTGGAAGTTCTACAGGGTTACAGTGAAAAAACAGGTTTACCTTGAAGCAGTAAGAACTAAATGGGATACAAATCTTGACTATCCCTGTTTCTGTCATTTATATAGTTTCCAATAGCAACAGATACAAAACAGATCCTGGCACACCAGCCTCCAGTGCAGCCTTGACAGTATTGTAGTTAAATAACAAATCTGGATTTTCATTTAATATTATTGACGTTTATACAAAAACACATGTAATTGCCTCTATGACTAGAACCTTCCATCTTTTCATATAGTGAATTTAATTTCATCCCACAATTAACCAACAATAATGCTGCTGACCAGCTGCTCTCATGTCTATTCTTGCTGCAGATCTCTATCACAGATTTCAGTTTCCCACAGAAGCAAATCCCAAGAGGTAATTTTGCCAGATGGGGCGCTAAACCCACGACTAAACTCACTCACGTTAACATAGAAATGTATCTAAGTTCTTGATTTTTTGTGACTAATATCTAAATATACCAGTGACTGTACCACTTTTCCACATTTAGCACAAGATGATGGAACCAATCTGGCATATTTTCATCACAGCTGATGCGAAGATACGACTTGGTACACATGGATTGCGGGAGGGAACAGATGCTGCAGAAAGTGGCTACATGTGACTGTGATGCAAAGAGGAGCGGGAGCTTGTTTAATTTGTTAACAGACGGTAACTGAAGTGTACTGACCTGAACTCTTTTGAGATGGGACAGGTGCTCCTCAACCTGGCAACGCAGCTTGGAGGGCACTTGAAAGATGGTGTTGTGGTGCTCCATCATGAAGGTCACTAGTTTGGTAGCCAGCAGGTCGTCCAAGTCCATCTCATCTCCTGAACCCAGAACGCAGTGAGAGAACATCTGCACCATCTGGACAGAGACCACAACAAGAGATGGATTAGAAACCAACTTCACAGTATACAGTACATTAATGATACTCCTTACCTTACACTGATATTGAAAGTGTACACAATATAATGAGAATCTGTCAAATAAATGGCAACAGCCATTGACCAAACACCAACTTTGTGAAAATGAAAAATTTGCATGCACACAGTGGGACTGGGATTGTTTTGACTGTGGTAGTCTTATCTTGATAGCAAAATGCATATTTAATATAGACTGAGCCAATAAAATAGATTAGATGTGTCTGCTCTACAACAGAGCCGTATCAAATACTTTTTTTTGTAAATCTTATAACAGAGTGTAATATTCATTCAAGTGAATGGGAAAGTGGTCTCAGACTACAACTTCAAGAACCTCCATGCTCATGCATAATATTCAGTTTTTGATGGACTACAGCACAGGATGGCCATGAAGACTAAGTATCCTTGCAGTGTGTAACACACTGGAGCAGAAAATACAAAACATATTTTTCAGGTATTTTCCTTCTGATGTCGTAGTTTTTAAATCAGCAATTATCTTGCAAATTCCTTTTTTCTTTAGATTTTCAGTGACTTTACCTGTGGCATTTTCTGTTCATGTAGTGAAAGTATCCTTGTTCCCCTAGAGGAGTATGCCCTATAGTATTCAGTGGATGGTATTTCTTAGTGTATCATCTTAGTGTGGACAAAGTGGTGCGAGTCTGGAACTGCCGTTCCTGGAAAGTTTGCAGTGAACATGAAGTGTATCCCTGAATACATCATACTTGATTTTCATGAATAATGTTCACTTCATCTGTAGCATGGTATAGGAATATACAACTATACAACATACATACTACAGGGTTTGTTTCCAAATAAATTCAGGTCTATAAAAGTCATATCATAGAAGTATATTGCAGTGTTTTGCTATGTCTAACCACATGTACAGATTCAGACCACCCGATATAGCGAACAACATTTATTTTTGGTGAGAGGATTGTCCTCTCCCTGAAAATGTTGCCAAGCATACCACTAATCCTGCTTAATAGATAGTAAGGATTTTGGGAAAATATTATGCCCCAAGGCCTGCATATTTTTCTGCTTCTTGTCCCTCCTTGGAGACGGAGAACTGTTCACCTTACACAGTCCATAATTAGGGCTGCACGATATGCAAAATAAATCACATTACAATTATTTTTGGCAGATTTTGCAATTTCCATTTCAGTTGGAAATGTCATTTTGGCATTTAATTTTCAATGAAAAAAATTTATAAAAATGATGATGTGATTTTTGTTGGGTCTTGTACCAAACATTTTCCTTTACGTCTGGAAAATATGAATTGTAGCCCCATAATGCTTATGGTGCTAACAATACACAACGTGACACATTTTACCTTTATCAAAAAAATGCGGCTCCTGCGATTTGGATACTGCACTGTCATATTTGCTATTTTGATTATATTTCGATTAATTGTGCAGCCCTATCCATAATGCAACCATTAACAAATTATGGCCAAGAAAAATTTTCACAATATTAATAATGTACCTTACTAGATTTATAAAGGTAGTATTAATTGCAGCACTATCATATTTGCATCATATTGTTTGCTCACAGTAGTAGTAGTACAAAGACAAGTAGCGAATAACTGATAGGAATTTGTACCAGTGTGCGGGTTGCAATGGTGTCATTAAGGGGAGGCAGGTGGGGATTCTGGCAGACCCGCGCCATGAGACGCAGCAAAAGCTGGAGGCGTCTCCGGTTGGCCGGTGGCAGTAACAGACAGCTGGCTTTTAGAGCCTCAGTGGCTAACTCCTCCTCCTGCAGCAGACCTGCAGAGATATGAAGAGAGGAGAATCTTGATCCTGAGGGCAAACACACCGCCTAGACAAAATGAACACCAGCAAATGTTCATCTGTAGCAGTGAACAAATATTGGTAGCAGATCCACAGGGTGAAGTACTCACTAAGAATGTTGACAAAGACCTCATATAGATGGAAAGTCAGTAGTGGTTCTTTGAGCCGCTGAAAATAATCTGCTACTGTTCTCAGAACATCTCTCTCGAAACCTGGGTACAATGGCTGTTTGGTTTCATTGCCATTAGGCCCTGAGAAAGGAGACAAATACAGTTCTTCTTAGTGCTCACAAAAAATTATTAAAAACAATAATCGACATACAGTTAACTGTAAACCAGTTAAATGGTACATGTGTGCACAATAAGGCCGCAACTAAGAGATTAATATACCAGTAGTTTCCTAAAGCCCAAGGTGATGTCATCAACTTGCCTACTTTGTTTAACTAACAGTCAAAAATATTGACTTTATTAACTCAAAAGACTGAGAATAACAACAAATCCTCAAAAACTACAAGCTAAAACTGGGTAATGTTCAGCATTTTTGCTCTACAATTAATTGACAACAAATTAGAATAGTTGCTGATTACTTTACTGACAGTCATTAAACTGATTAATTGACACACACAAGAACAGGTTATACATTATAGATTTAGTTTGTCCCAGAGTGAGATATCAACCAATTTTAAACTATGGCACATACTCCTCCAAAATGATCAATAAGATTTTAGAAGACATTTTAGAAGTTTTACTCATGACCTTTAGGTACTTGCACCTGCTGTGCTCACAGTCCCCAAAGCAGATGGTGAGTTTTATTTTTTAACATTGATGTTCAGAGTCAATAAAATATGTATACTCACAGTTGGCGAGGCATTTCATTGCTGATACCACCCAATAGGGCATGTCCTCTGGAAATAGGAAAATAGGAAATAGGTGAGTCCTAATGTTCATGCAAGTTGCAGCAAAAAAGCAGTTGTTCTTCCAGTTTTGAACCAGTGCATCATACCCGCTTTGTTCTCCAATACGACTATGCCCGTCTTATTAACAATGAACACATTGTGAACAATGTGCTTGCCGTTCACATGTGTGGGGTTTAACACTCCATCCAATGACTTTAGGCCCAACACTCTCTGTAAACTAAAACAACAGAGTTGGCATCAAATATCTAGAAAAAAAACTACTAACACCATGAAAAATGAAGGTTTTCTATCAGTAATGGAAAAGAGTTACATACTGTGCAATTGTCATTGATTTCCAGATGTGGTCCACTTGTTTTGGAGTAATTTCCTTCCTGCGTATGAGCTTGCATTCATGCACATCTCCAATAGCCACACTGTGCCTTTTATTCCACAAATCTGAAGTCTGCTCAAAGGGAATGACAGAAAAAGTTCCATTTAAATTTACAATACAATAGCAGAAAAACAAAAAAAACAAAAAAAAACAAAACAAAAAAAAAATGGTTCAATAATCCAATAAAACAGTGTTGTAAAGTAATCGAATGAAGTGTTTATGCATTAAATCCTACCTTTGTAAAACTTAGAACTTTGGATTGTTGTTAATATCGTGTCAGAGATGGTGATGTCTTGATGTTAACTCTATGATAAATTTCAGACTACAACAATTCATTCCTTGTTGAACAGGAATGAGTTACACTGTAAGGTGCAGGGGTTTCTACCATTCCTTTCTCCATATGTATAAATGTGGTGGACAAAATGGTAGAAACATCCTTAAACATAAGGCTGTCCAAACAGCAATGCCTGAGTCACCTAAATAAATAAATAAATAAATAAACAACTAACACTATGTCCACACTAATACGTTTTCATTCTAAAAACTGTTTTAAAATGATAACGATCTCAGTCCAGATGAGATCCATATCAGAAATAATCTGTCCATACTGAAAATGCACCTGAAAACCCTGAATACACTGGACATGTGTGCCAGGTTAAACAGGAGCAGATTGTGTACTCTGTAGCTGGTTTCTTAGTTTGAGAAAATATTATGAAAAAGGAAGAACAATGGCAAAAAGTAAGACCAAAGATTTCTTGGCATTACAAAATGTAGAATTTAACTACTTAACATCTGTTAAGCAAAAACAACAATATCAGCAACACTTGTAATTCATTATCCATGTTGGATTCACTCCTGGTAGTCAAGGCTGATGTCGTTTGTTTTCATCCAGGAAAGGGCCACGTAATAGAAGCATGACAAATCAGGGAAGGATACACTTTGAGTCAATCAGGAAGTAAATGTGGGTGTGTTCTAGTTTCCAAAAGTCTCTCTTTCTGCCCCCAGGTAACCCTGGATTAACTATACTAACACGGGCCAGCCTTAGGGGCTTGAAAACTCCAGTATAGTGTGGACATCAGGCAGAAACCTAGCAAAAGGGATGTGTTTAAACTAAAACGTATTAGTGTGGATGTAGCCTAAAGTAGTGGTCTGAACAAAACCTAAAAACTCTCTAAGGGATGCATTACACTGAATGTTCCTTTTAATTTTTCAGTGTAATTTTGACTAAAGGACAATATAAATGACATTAGTAATTGAAACAGCAAAGACATTTGAAATGACCTCATCTTGCCATTTACTTTCTATCAAATTAGCATATTCTCATACACTTTAAGTGCACTATGTGTCTAAGTAAACACAGGAGGGTCTGAAAATTCTTTGTCTCTTGCTCACCATGACGGCTGACTTCAGTGGAGCAATGTTTTCCTGTTGGGGCAATTCTTCATAGTCATCCCAGCGGATGAGTCTGGGCAGGTCACAGCTTCCTCTCAAGAGAGGTCTTGCTGGAAAAGACTTCAGAGGAGATAGTGTGGGGAACCTGGAGAAACAAACAAAGAGCACTAAGCTCAGCCAAAGGGAGAAAAGGCCAAACTGAAGGTGGTGTATTGCCTTGTTTCAAGTGACAAGAATAACGGTGCAGGCTGACAAAAAAATACCTGTACAGATGACTGTTGTCTTCGAAGTCCTCTGTCCCATGGCGTCCTTTGATATCTTCAATGACATGGGCCTTGAGAAACTTCCTAAGCAGCTGCAGAGTCTGGTAACGAGTCACCTCAGGCCCAAAGTTGTAGTTGTGCCTCAGTAGCTCATGCAGGTAATCCACGGCCTCAGATCCTGTGAAACTGCAATCATAGTAGCGGAAGTTTGCCCAGTGCCTTCTCAGCGGCATGCCTCCTCGGAAGAGTTTAATGGTTTCATTCCACTGTGTAACAGGAAGAAATACAACAATGAGAAATGGTTTAGACTGTAAGAAAAAAAAATCAGATACAGGCATTTCTGATGAGGACATTTTTGTAGTTACGGTCAACATGGTGAGAGTGAAAACAGACATCTGCTGCGGTAGAAAAAAATGCAGTATGCATGTTCTTCATATTATCATTGAATATAATAATTTTGCAGCAGAAAATCTCCACACATAACAGGCACCTGTTATACCATATGGTGACTATGGTGTCTCTCTTACTAGTGAAAAATCATATACAGGATCCAGGACAAACTCATTTTGATTCGTATATGTGCATTATTTTCTTCTTATATATTTATAGCAAATCAAAGACAAACACCAGTTTCTCAAACTGCTTTGTTAAAAGCATAGCAAGGCTGAACTGAAACAACTCTTATCTACTCTAGTCACAAAAAAGTAGCCAGTATGTATAAGAACAAACAGAACATTATCTCCTAATAGTGCTTTGGAAGGTACAGGGGCTGTGGATTATCAGATCTCACAAAGTATCCAGATGGGTAGGAGAAAAATGAACAAAACAGATAGAGGGGGAAATAGGATTAGGATACACAAAGTCATTACAACAGGAGAGTATCAAACTGTATAAAGCAAATGCTGCTCATGGGCTGGTCTGAATCATGAATAGAGTGCAACATGTGATGGGATTAAAAAAATACAGAAATGCAATAGCCAAGAAGCTAGCTTTCAGACTATTGGGAGGACAGGGAAGGTCCTGTGTTTGTGTACACTTTATAGGCAGCAGGGGGGAATGTCTTCTGAGGGTTTGTTCTTAGGAGAAAAAACATTCACTACCAGTTTGTCATCCTCTGTTCAATACCACATGGCCCTACTTCAATATACAGTAACTGAACAGGACAGACAGAAACCTGAAAAGGACATACACTGTAGCTTGAAAACTGTCACGGAAGGGATAGGACTGGCTCATGAGAATCGACTGTCATTTCATTTTGACTTGACAGTGTGTAATGAACTGAGAAAACATCACTAATATTCTATGGCTTTCCTTGTTCACTGCAAACATCCGCTTGACACTGAATATAAGGCCTTTCTTCACTTTAGATATTTTGACATGTCACAGAAGGAAAAGCACAAGCCTAAATAATGAATGAATGATGTCTGAACTCCATTTAGATGCTTCCGTTTTAGGATCCTGAGAATGTCCATTCTGTCATGAGCCAGAATGAACCAGATTGATGTTTGGCCAGAACCAGAGCCTTCCTTTCTGTTATCAGTTGTATGTGTGCTTTTCCTCAAGTCAAACTGCCTTTTGTGAAAAAGCCCTCTTGGAAATCTTCAAATCACACTGGATGGGTTAATTAAACTGCTAGTCCTCAAGATTTGGCATTGAAAATTACAAGATAAATATAAATTCAGTTTGACTCTGGAATAATATGTAATTTATTACTGTTGAAAGGGGTTAAAGACAGCAGCCTGTGATGCACATAGAAAAAGCTGACAGTATCAGTGTATTCGCTTTTACATGAAATTAAAAAAGGAGTTGCTATTATTGTAAAGTAGCCTACAAAACATAGTTCTGACAGTCACAACAACATTGAACATTTAAGTCCACCCACTATAGCGGCAGAGCCATCATTTTCTACTAAACAGGTTGCTTTGCTCGACAAGTTTTCGGGCTAGTTGTGCCTTCTTGAAGACAAGTCTTAAACGCTTTAACTCCCTGTCTGAGTAAGTAACATCACACATGTGACCGTTGGCTACTAATTTTCAACAAGCTTAAACTAAATTTTAAAGTACGTTATCGCTTTCACCTACTAAATGTTTGGATAGAAGATATCTGCGTAATCTACGCTAAATTTGCGACGGTACCAACACATATGAAAGAAACCTTACACATTTTAAAGTTTAGCGTAAAGCTTTTAACGTCACTTTAACCGTGCGTTGCTAACGTTACAAAGAGACTCACCAGCTTCGTCGCCCGATACGGACCCGGTCCAATGACTTTACCTTCCATTCCGATAGTTAAAACCCACTCACTCGTAGAAAAACATTGGGCTGTATAACTTTAAGAAGCTCCACAGAGGCTTAAACTGCAGGTGAAAACAGTACCAAGAGTCTCCGAGCAGAAACGTTGCTGCAAACTTTGAATCTCCTACGTCACAGCATTTGAACAACGTGATTAGACAGAGCGTTCATCACGTGACCAGCAAGAATGCAGTGTTTATGAATGGACGTGGTGGCACAATACTCACAATACTATTCAACTGCCATATAGACAATAGTAATGAAATGTAAGTATTTAATTTGCAGCCGAGCTTTCAGTTTTTGCAATATTTGCCTTGATCTCTTTGGATAGATTTAATACAGACGTAATCAAGTCCTACATGGATTATCTATATGCCCACACTCGTGAATTCATTCAAAAAACTGGCATATAATCCCAAAGTAGGCTAATTGTTTCATATCAAATCCCATTTGCCTGCATAATTCAAACGAAAACTAACTGACCAAACTATTTTAGATAAATCATAACTAACCTATGTCAATATTGGCTATTATTCAAAACTACAGACACCAATACACCTCTATGTTTGGTAGGAGTTTGATTGTGGGGGATATTAGTACTCATACATTAAGCAGATCTACATCTTTATTCCAGAGTCTTGAATTAAATGACTCAGGTTAGTATCACAATATACTTAGTAACAATAAATTAGGCTCAGTGAACATGACATAGACCATTTATAAAGTGCCAGGTGACAATATTTTTAATATTTTAACAGAAGCCACATTAGAGGTTTCTGGATCGACTGGAATCACGACAGGAAGGTGTAATGGGAATTACAGTCAACTAAGAAAAGGGAAATAACTGCGGAGATGACCTTCTCCAAATCTGTGGAGGATTGGTGTGGTTAATAATTGAAGCGATTCATAGATGCACGGAGGATAATATCATCACTTTAAGCTGCTTTCCAAAATTTTAATTGGAATCAAGAAACACCTGGTGCACAGATGCAGGTTTTTACAGTTTTTCAGATAACTGTCAACACCATCTTGTTCTCACAAGAAAAACATCCTAAACACAAAAAAAGTAAAGCATATTGTGTTTACTGTTGAAAGTCAGGGGGGCATGAAAGAATGATCCCTGACTTATTTACTGTATTTGTGTATCTACTTGTCACTTTTATTGCATTGTAGAAATAAATGATCTTGGACATCCAGCTCTTACTCTCACCAGGGCAGTTAACTGTCACCACTGGGATCACTGTGGAAGGAATATTCTGCAGGGAGAATAATGGCCTTAACTGATAATAAAAAATTCAGTAGTCATCCATCAGAGCTACAGAAATGCCATGAGGTGTTTCATGCCCCTCTAAAACATCTACTGTAATAAACAGAGCACCTCAAACTTTTCCTTTTAGCATGATGATGTCTGTACTGACAAAGAGGCACACTGGTTTTATCTAACTGGCAATAATAGCAGTGCTCTTTTCTTCCATCCTTTGGGCTGCAGCAATGGGGGCAGAGATAGATGTCTGATCAGTCAGGTCAAGAAGGAGTTGCTTCTGCACCCACAGAGGGACAGCTGAGTGGCACCTTAACCCTTTAACTGCCTGCTCGACCATATGGTTTAGCACACTTTGACTCTTCCATTGCTTTTTTCTTGGTGGGGTTGTTAAAGGGTTAAAATGAACTCTAACAGTGACAGCACTTTATTAAAACTTATTATAGGCTACACCACAGTGATGCTGCTGACTCCTAAAGCATTTTAACTACTGTAGTATAACTAAAAAATACAGCAGTGAGTCCGTAATCAAGCGAAGGCTGAAATATACAAGTAATATAAACACAGACGTCTGGGTACACTTGGTCGCTGAAAGGTCAAGAAACACCAATAGCTGAGATATTAAAAGCTGTTTTGGTAGCTGCCCTCGCTGACTCAGATCGATCATAAATTTGGAGGTACGTAAGGGCATATAAGGGAACTGGTATAGCTGCTTTAGACATCTGTGATGTCGAGTGAGAAGGTCATGAGCCTAATTAAATGAAACATTTCAACAAAAGAGCACCCACTTTGATAGTGACAATTTCATTTTCCACATCCAAACCCGGTTGCAACCCATTTCACAAATACGTGTCCTTTCTTTGCCTCACATCTCGGCCATGACTTCTCAGTTAAAAAGTCATGAAGTTAACGGAGAAAAGACGAAAGTAAAGATCCTGGAGGCAAATCAACAGAACAAATGGAACCACTTAGGGTGGTCAAATTATACTCTATATTGCTATATCACATATGTCGCTTGCTTGATAAGAGCGTTGCCCTTTGTGCAAGAAAAATTGTTACCTATAAAAGGTATTTGCTCCATTTGGGAGCTTTGTGTTTTATTGTCTTACAACACTGACTCAAAGTAGATTTAATGTGGCTGTCTGAAGCACCTTGATCAACAAGATAAGGCTGATTAATGTCAAAGTGAAAACAGATCTCTACAAAGTGATCAAAATTAATTACAGATGTAAAACACAAAGTACCTGTTTGCAGTATTTACCCCCTCCATGTCAGTATGTGTAGATGTTGTTTTGGCAGCAATTACAGCCATGAGTCTGTGTGGACACTGCAATCTTAAGTGAACACCCTTTTTCAAGCCACAAATTATTGTTATTAAACCATTCCTGGGCAGCTTTGGCTTCGATTGGGGTCATTGTCACTTAAGTGGCAGGTTTCTTGCAGACTATATCAGGTTTTCCCCCAGGATGTTTAAAAATATTTAGCTACATTCATTTTACCCTGTAAACTCTCAGAAGCCTTCCAGGGCCTGCTGCAGAGAAGTACCACCTCTGCATGATGCTGCGACAAACGTGCTTCATACCGGGGATGGTATGTTTATGATGATGTGCAGGCGTTAAGTATGATGGCCAAAATGCTTAGGTTGTTGTTGTTGTGTGAGACTACGTCCAAAACATACTCGTTTTCAAACGAAAACGATGTTGTAGTGTTTTAGCTCTGTATCATCATCTGTGTTCATCATCTCCGTCCAGACTATCAAACGCATACATACTTGAGCAATGATATACACTGGACATGCGTGAGCCGATGTAAACAATAAGCAGATTGTTTACTCTGCAGTTGATTAGTTGCAAAAAAAAAAAATACTACGAAAAAGGAACAATAAAGACAGCTGCAGTGTTAAAATACAGAATTTAACTCCACAACTGTTTGGGTTGTAGATCTCTTGGTGTTCTCGTCTTTCAGTGTCTTGTAAATATTCTTTTATCCATCCCTTGACTCGTGTTTTTCCGTCACCTTTTCATGGATTTGCCTGGAGTTCCTTTGTGTTCATGGTAAATGTTTGCCACAATAATGACTTGGTAAAAATTGGATCTAACAATCAATTGAAACCCCTTGACTACACACTTGATTTACATTTTTCTAATGATGTTACTTCTAAAAACCACTGATTTAGGTGTTTCCAATTAAAATTAAATTAATTTAGACTACATTGTAGAGATCTTGAATACTCTTTTTTGTGACTCTATGACAACAGCCATAAAAATGACCTGCCATTATTAAACTGTGCTGTCAGCCAGTTAGCTTAGCTTAAAAGAAGACTGGAGACAGCTAGCCTGGCTCTCTCCTTAGGAAACAAAATCTGGTTGGGTTGAAGTGTTTATGTGCAGGACTATTTCTCGGCTGGCCACAGTAACTTCCTAGTTAAAAAACCATTTGCATTTACACTCTTGTTGTTAAACCAATGAAATGTAACTTGTTAGTGAGTTTTAGAGGGAATGGTAGGCAGATTGGGTTATCTTTGAACAAACAAAAAAAGTGATGTGGGATATGCAGTCATGAAGTTGGTGAATTGATGCAGGCGCTCTCTGGATAGAAGGTGAACCATAAAAGTTCCTCTCCAGACATGTTTTAAACAATTTAAAAATACTTTGCTATGATTAATACTTTATTTAACATGGATTTCCCATGGAAAAATGGAAAACTGTGGCTGGAAGCACATCTACACTTACAGTAATTTCTCATTGAGAAATTCTGGATCAGGCCTTGTGCCCCGCCCACCACCGCTGCTTGTGCAGGTGAAAGAGCAATGCCTATTGAGATGGTTATCGGAGGGAACATTGGAGAGACAATTCCAAGGTGGAAATACCCAGTTATGGCTTATTTTGATCATGACATGTTTTGTATAATATAAAAAGCACCATATGGTCACACTATTCCACTGACCAACAAGTGGCAGTAAAGCACAAACAAGAGTAGCAATGTGCAGTGACGAAGAGGGCAGCTAGCCAGCAAATATTGATGTTAACACTGTACATTTTTGAATATTGAATAGCTTGTCTTTGCAAACGTTTTAAGAGGAAGGAAAGACATTTAACGTATTGTTTATGCTTCGTTGTTTTTTTGGAAGAGTCAGGCTACTGAGGGAAAGACACTGATACTACATTACCTTGCTTTCAGACCTGTCACTTTCCAGTGTGATTGTCAGCTTGACTGACAGAAGACTTGAGGGTGGACATACTGCAAAGGTATCAGGGAGAACAGCATGCATTTGTCTTTAGTGCTCCTGGGGGAAGACATGACATACGCCAGGTAGGGAGAGGCATGGTATGAGAGGAGCAAGGGAACTATATGACATGAGCACATAATGCTGTGTTATGATAGCAGCAACACTGGGGAACTGATCTGGCTTTGGCTTGCCTGACTATTTAAACATGCAGTGCCGACAGCTGGTGCGAGAGCCGACTGCAAAGATGGTAGCTCATGTTCAGATTAAGTACAGAATTCAATAAAGGAGATGAAACCTGTGATGAAACTCAGGACTGTGAAAAATATAATCAAGCTTCAAAGACTGGACCAGAATAAAAACGCCATACCAGAGCTATAAAAAATTGCTAATAATAATAATAAAATCAAATACAGTCGGGATAAAAGTCAGACATCTATTCTAGATTTTATAAAGAATGTTTACTTAAAACCCATAATGGATTATTTAAAATGTGGTTTACAAGTGAATTGATAATGATTTTTCAATGGTCTTTTCATTTAGAAATTGGAATGCAGTGGGATGTAAAATGAATAGACTGTACTCCTACTGCTTCATGTTGATGTGCATG